CAGGTGGCCCATCCTGCTGCTCCCCGGGCACTACCATGAGAGCGGTAGCAAAGATGAAAGATGCTGAGCAACATCCTGCTGCTGTTTTTCTCAAGTGCAAGACTGGCTTCCCACTGTGCACTTCTCTTCATGTGGTGGCATTGCTTTTTCCACTTCCTAATTTGGAGCTGGTGTGGTCAGTGGGCTGCAAGGGGATCCAAGGTACGCTCTGAAAGAAAATAACATCCAGAAGCTGTAGGCAGGGAGTTGAATAGTATCTACGTTTATTTCTCATCCTGGCAGAGCCATGTGCATCCTGCTGGCAGCAGAGCCTTTGATGGTTTGCAGTTGTGGCTTTGCCACCTGTCCCTGAGGGCCACATCGGGTAGCAAGTCTCTTACTTTTGTCCTGCTTCCAGTTGCATGTGAAGGATGGTCTTTATTGGCACTCTTTGCCTCAGTGAACTAGATTTTTAGGGATTCTCCAAGTTTGTTTTGGAGCACAGTTTCTCTGTTTTGGCTGCTGCCCTGTGTTTTCCAGTGCTGTTGAGGGCCTCCCTCATTTGTCTTGTGCTACAGCTTGAAAAGGAGTTGGTCAGGTGTAGTTACTTGAGCATTGGGTTTATGCTTGTGCGAGGTTTTTTTTGTGTTGCTTTTTTGTTGCTGTTGTTAGTTTTTGGTTGTTTTTTATTTTTTAGGCTTGGCTGTTCAGTACAGCCTGTACTCAAAGAGCAGAAAGCCCAAAGCCTGCCCGGACTGGCCTCCGTGCAGCACCATGGTGGGCAAAAGCGTTGTCTTGTCCCTGAGCAGCACAGCTGGGTTAGTCTCATCCTGCCTATGCCCAGCGCAATAAACCTCCCTGTTAAAGAACCGCTAGCATAAATGAATAAAGAGAAAAAGGAGTGCCTAACACCCAGTGTTGAAGGGAAATCCCTGAGAAAAGCTGATTTATAAAAAAACAATTTTGCCCTTTTTCTTAAGCCTTACTTTTACGAAGCTGGAACAGAAATGACTCCAACTTACGCTGGAGGAAGGGTAGGAAACTCAGCAAACCCATGAGAGACAATGTACTCTGAGCTAATGGGGAAACATATGGAGCAATATAAAACATTTCATGCTCTCTCATGACCCCTTTGTTTTGATAAGCTCTCTTTTTTCCCCATGAAACTTTCAAGCAGTTATGATTTAAAACAGTCCCTAGTGATGTTTGAATCCTGCAGAATTTGAGGTGGGTGAACAATGAAGCAAAAGATGGTGGTTTGCTCACTCTTACCTCTGGAACAAGGTGTTCTGCTCTAGCTCAAGATGCCTGTGTCAGAGTTGGTGTGCTGAGGCTGCTCACACAGATACGTCTCTCTTTGCTCCCTGCCAGCTCTTATCTGCAGAGTTTGAGCTATTGATGCTTCCTGTCATGTGTGTGGACGGAGACTGTCACCTCTCCTGGGGCAGCTGGAGAAGGAGAGTTATCATGATTTCAGCTATGGATCTGTCAGAGAGGCCGGAACTATGCCCTCCTTTTATCTTCGTATCAAGCTCACCAAACCTAATACACTGTTAAACCTAATGTGTTTGCTTTCCTCCTGCACAGATCATGTTTTGCACTTTGAACACTCATAAAGCTGATATGGACAAGCTTTTAGGTGCACAAATTGGCCTTGAAGATTTCATATTTGCCCACATAAAAGGTCAACGAAAAGAAGTGGAAATTCTTAAAACTGATGATGTGCTTGGGCTCACCATTACAGACAATGGGACTGGCTGTGCATTCATAAAGGTAAATTTAATTACCAGTGAAGTACTTTGTCCTGTAGAAGCTTCTATTACTGTAACAGGTTAATTATTAGGTTAATGATCCTTTAGAACTATAAAATCTTTTATTATCACATATATGGTAAGTATAAAATAAGGTTACTTTTCTTTAAGTACATCATTCAAAATTAGTTCAGCTATTTTTGTACTGCGTGTCATTCAACATTAGTTCATTTGTCATTGCTTCTGTAATGTGTATCAGCTTTACAATGTGGCCATTGTTTTTTTCCGACCTACCCTGAGGTGATAGGTGTTAGATACTACTTGCATCTGCCCCCTCTTTTTTGAAGTTATTTTCTGATATTATTGATTAGGTGCTTATAGAGCTTCTGTCACTCATGAGATAGTGAGATCATATTCTTTCAGTCTTTATGACTGCTCACAGGGCAGAAGCCTTTGTGCTGTACAAGAATAGGTACAAGTATAGTGCTTTTTCAGCTTTCCAATATGGTTGCCTTAGATGAGTAGGGTGAATTTAAAGGCATTAAGGATATGGATTAACACAATTTACCACACTTCACTTGAGTAGCAACTATGGGCAGTAACATGTACAATAAATTAATCATAATTGCTTTTCTTCTCATCTTCTATATGACCTCCAGATAATACGTTTTCAGACAAGTCAAGGCTGAGGAAATGATGCTACTCCTCTTGCTAGACTAGGTATTAGAAATCTTAATGACATTTTCTGCCTTTTTTAGATGCTTTGCTCTAATCTACTCCAGTTATCCATTATTAGGGAGACATGGGCAATTCTTTTCAATTACTGCTATCCCAGTTGCTGTTCTCATTGCTATTGTAAACAGAACTTCTTGTATGGAGAGGTTGTATTCTCTAGTCCTTGGCAACCATGGATATAAAACAAGATGTGGTATAGAAATAGGTTTGCTTGTCTTTGTGGTAGAAAAATGTGATTGAGATAATTCTTGAGAAAGTTGAGATGCAGTGGAGGTTTCAGTAAGCAGTTTGGCAAAATCATAGGCCATTTTTATGTTTATAGACACAGAACTCTGAATTTCTAGTGGTGACGTCCGTGCAGCCTATAACATTCAGTCATGCTGCTGCTTATGTGGCATTTTAAAAGAAGGCATTGGAAGCAGTGCTCCAGAGATTAGAGTTCACCTGTGCAGCACTGTACCGTGTTACTCTCTCTGTGCTTGGTTGGTAATGGGAGGAGAGAGAACAGCCATCACATAGAATAACTGTGTAATTGGACCAGACTGGAAAACCCCTCACCACATTAGCAAGACAAGCTGTAATTTCCAGTAAATTGTAAAAAACTTGTCTGAACAAATATATCATTGTCCTTCTACTGGTCTAATAAGCAGTATAATAAATATGGAAGAATGGGAATGCATTAGTTTAAAGGAGTTTCTAGAAGCTTACTTTGTTGCTGTTGCATATTTAATCAATAGATTTTATAAAACAGCATAGAAAATACATATGCAAAAGTGAAAGCTGCATCATTTTTATACTTGATTGTCTAGGTAAATGACTAAGCAGAGACTGTCTTTACTTTAAAGTTTGATAGAATTATTTTTTGCTTATATATTTACTTTCCTTAGAAAAATGTTACTATATTCCATTATTAATTAAATTAATATTAAATTTATCTTTCTGTGTTGTTGAAACAGCATGGGCTATAGTAATTTTATTGCATTTTGAATAACAAGGCAGTGTCTAGTTTTGATACATAACCCAGCCAGATTTTAAACCTGACACTCTAAACCGCAGGTTCTTTTCCTATGAAATCTGGTGTCATTTTGCCTTACTGGGAAAAAAACCTGTTGTCATGCTGCTTTCATCGGTTTGTTTTCTGGGTACATAGCCACATGGGAAGATGTATTATGGAATCAAATTAGCCATTCAAAGAATAACAGTAGAACTTGAAGCATGACTGACTGGTATATAAGGAGACATTATAAAATGAGGTGGTGTAATTAATTTTAGGCACTGCATAGGAAATATAGATCCTAGCTTCTAAATGAACTGTAGAACACTTGAAATATGGGCATATCAATTGCATCTTAATTACTCTGACAATGTAGCTTGACTGTTTCTGGTCAGTTTACTTGGAGTGATGATAAAAACTAAGTCATATTAAAAAAAGAAAAAAAGTTTGATGTGACTCAAATAACATAGCCAGTGAATATTACTTAAACGGTTTTGGTATTAAGATCCAAATGAAGAGGAAAAGCTAAATGAGAATGAATTCAACATGTAAACTAAACATTAATTGAAGTCTGGTGGGTACACTTTTAAATCCTGGCACCTGGTAAGAGAAATGCATTTGAGACTTGGTTTCTGGTGTGTACAATACCCCCCTCTTCATTCACCATGAGGCTTCTTTTTGGTTTTGATCTAGGTTAAAGAAAAAAAGCACTAGAGAGTTAAATTCAGCTTGAAGCTAAAAATTGTTGCAGTATATTATAGGACACTGATCACTATCACACTTCCCACTGACTCTCTCAGATGGAGGCTCATATGTGGGCTCAGACGTGCGCACATAAACTAAAACCAGGTTCCTGAGATAGTTATACAGCTAGGCTAGGTGTCATAGTGGTGGGTGGTAATATGTTTATCTCCCTTACCTCACTGTTATCTTGATCAAAGTTAGTCTGAACAACATCAGTCATTCTTGAAAAGTATATTATTCAGGAAGATATTAGAATGAAATTCATATCTCTACAAAATATAAGGTGTTCTGCTATGTCATAGCTTTTCTATTAAATAGCTGTAGGATAACAGCTTATATGATTTAGGTACACGATAAATATGACAGCATATAACAACAATAAATAGAATCACTGAAATTTTGAGTGTCCTTTAATTGACCTGATAAATTGTAAAGATCTTTTAAAGATGTTTTTTTCTCACTTTTTAAATTCCACTTCACAGAAACTATAAATATGAATTTCTGTTACATTTTATGACTTCTAGACCATTTGTATTCCATGAAATGGCATGTAGAAGAATTTATTATTCTTTATTGTTATTTCAGTGGAAATACTTTAATATGCAGCTGTATAGCTTGATGAGGAAAATGGTAGAAGTTTTATCACTGTAGATGGGCTTTATTAAGACTAACCCTTTACAGTATGTCATTTTTAGTATATCACCCACATTTTTTATGTCCCTAGACCATACTTGAAAAGAGAAAAGTTCTGTTCCTATGCTTGTCAAGCTATTAAGTCAAAATAAAAACCCAAAACTCAACTAAATGTTCATATTACTGACACGTTTGCACAAAGCACAAAAATCTTAGCTTCTTCAGAAGCCTTAATTTCTAAAGTATGATTTAATTCTTTTCTTTTGATTGATTTTATATTTAATGCTTATGAAAATACTTTGAAAAATAATGCTTTCCAAAATAGATTTTATGAAAATCTTATAGACCAAATACACTATTGGTATAATAAGGTCAGTGCTGTTGATATTGTTAACTGAAATTCTTGGAACCCTGTGGTGTCACGTCTTTACATTTTAAAGAATGTTTCTAATTCTATTTTTTTTTTTAATTTAAACAACAGCGAATCAAAGAAGGTAGCCTTATGGACCGAATCAAAATGGTCTGCGTGGGTGATCACATAGAGACTATAAATGGAAAAAATGTGTCAGATTGTCGACATTATGAAGTTGCCAAAATGCTAAAAGACCTGGAAAAAGATCAAGTGTTTAAGCTGGAGTTGGTAGAGCCTATGAAAGCATTTGGTGAGTTACCAGACTGTCCATCTTGTTCATTGGATGTTGAAATCAGGTTGCAGCCAGGTGTCCCCCAAGGTACAAGAAAATACTTTTTTTTTCTTTTTTTTTTTTCTTTTTTTTTTCTCTGAAGTGAATTATGAATGGATTTTCTTCTCTCTTGCTTTCCATCAGTCATCCTGGTGTGGGCTGCCTCAACCTGAGTCTCGGTTGCTCAATTCCTTTGCCGCCTCATGGTGACGCAAAATAAGTACAGAAATTGTTTCTAAGACACAGTTTTAAAGCATGAATCACTTCACTAATGCACTGATCCTTGAACCTCCTCTTCTCTTTTCCTCTATTGATGCATAATCCCTCTTCATCTATATGTCAGATTTTTCTGTTTCTCTACCCTTTACTGGGGACTGCACTCTCTAATGGAGAAGGATGCTCCAGAAAACGCTGGGATTTCCTAGAGCACCTCCTTTGCTGTGTGCCTGCCTGCCCTTCCCAGCTTTTTTGTGGCTCTGATCTTACAGCAGGCATACTCAGAACTAGAAGAAAGCCATACAGCAAAGCTCTGTCTCTACCTACTACCTGCATGTTATGAGAAAGTGATACTTATATAAGAGGAATGCATAGCTACTGCTAATCCTTATGTATATGAATTTGGTCCAAAAAAAAAAAGTAGGTTTAGCTTAGAGTGTCAAAATAGGAACTAAGCTTTAGTTTTTGTTGTCTCAATTTTTTATAACCCCCTTTGAACCATGCATCATTTTTCTGTAATAAAAACTTCAAAATACTGCCAAATTATAAGTATGTATGAGTCATTGTGCACATCTGCACTAACAGCAAGTTCAAAATCGCCACCTTCACCAGCAGCCAAAGTTCAAAATGTTTCTTTTTCAAATCTTTTTTTATCTGCTAGTAGCTTACAACTGCTGTCATACACCAGTCTTGACACTTGGTGTCAGAATAGCAGCAGAAATTGAAAATGAGAGAAATCTGAAGATTTTTTTTTTTTGCTTTTGGTGCTTATGTAAAAAATGAGGGTTATGAGTTAATCTCTGAAGCGTTTGGATGTAAGTTGGTATTCCTGTTTAGCAAATGTGTATGCTATACAGTAGGCTAAAGTAGTATTACGTATGTCTAGTATTGCAATTAGTAAAATAAGAATACCTTTTTAATATGGGTCTATAATTTGTGTTCAATGCTAAACGTGTTACATAATCTCTTTGTAAAGACCAGAGTAAATCAGCATTTGATTGATGACTTCAGCCATTATTTAATTGTAATTACCTTAATCAAGTGATTAAGATACCTTTTAGTCTGCCTGTATGTAGAGAAGGAAACCTGCTAATTACATAGTGCTACCTTTTATCTGACATTGAATTAAGAGATGATCAGAGCTTTTCGGACCGATTTTTGGATGATACACATTATTTTTTACCCTACAGAAATTAATTTACAAGTTTGAATGCCCAATAGAATCCCCAGCCTCTAGCCTTAGGTGCAGTTAGGCTTTAAGCACAAATTTATTTGAGACAATGTTTAAGCTGCAGCATGCTGAGAATAGCCCCAGAGGAGATGACAAAAAGGATCCAGATCCTGCTGGACAAGTAGGTGCTGAATTCCTGTTAGTTTCAACACAAGTTTGTGAGGGTATAGAAATAAGAACGAGTCTCTGTGTGAAATTACTTTTACTTTTCCTTCTCTCAGCAGAATGTGAAATAAACATAACTTGCAGGTTGGGTATATTTCTGCCGAGTGCACACAGGCTGCCCCAGCTTCTCAAGGCTTGCAGCACAGAATTAAAGAATAAGATTGATCCTTACCAGTCATAAGCTAGCCATCTACAAATTGGTGAAAAATTAATAGAAACAAAGTAAAGGCAGCATAACAAAAACTCTACATTTAAAATATGTGAATATGAAAAATAGTTTCTGTGATGACCAGACAGCTTTGGTCTGAAGTATTGCAAGTAAAAGTTACGTAAGGTCATGAATTTTAAGTTGCTAATGGTGACAAAACTAGAAAAAGATATATGTTGTATCAGGAATGGCTTTTTGAAACAAGTCCAGAAGAAATTATGTCAGTCTTAAGAATGTTTGAAACTGTCCTTGAAGCAATAAAAGGATTAAGGAAAAGTGTTGATCCTAAGTATATATGTAATAGACCATGCCATAACTATTTGATAAAATAAAAACAATTCAGATTTACTTTTCAAGTCTTGTTCAGGAGAATAATCTGGATTTTTGAATAATTATACAAGAATGATGATTTGGACACGGGCAAAATGAATACAGCCCGTTAAAGCCTTGCCTTCAAGGAGAGCTTATTAGAAAGGCCTGCTGTTAACAGGAGGAGTAGTCTGGTAGAGAAAACAGCACAGTTAAAAACAGTTTTGGAAAAATTACCTCCTCTCTTCTAGCACTTTCCAGATTAACTATGCAACTCCCATGTCAGTAAGTAAATTAAGACCATAGCAATCTTGATGTAAATTTATATACTAGAAGAAGAAAGCTAAATCTGAAATGATTCCATACTCCATTTACAAACTGGAGTGCCCTTACATAAGATTAAAAAAGGAAAGCTGGTGAAGAAAACTGGATAAATCCAGATCTTCTTGGTAGAGATTTATCAAGCATGAAACCAATGGAAAAGCTCCTGCAGATCTTCTTAGGGAAATTTCACCTATGTGACTGCTAGTAATTGAATTGTTAGTTCAATGTGTCTCATCACAACCTGTTTAGCAGTGGTGTTTGCACCCTTGCATCAGTAAAAGATGGAAATGTTGCAACGCTAAACCTGCTACATAGTCTGCCTGTAAAGACCAGGATAAATCAGCATTTGGCTGATAACTTCAGCCATTATCTAATATTAAGTAATAAATACTTCTGCTTTTCTGTGGAATAGGGAAATGAAATTACACAAAATGCATATATGAAGTTGAGTGCAATAGACCTGCATAGATATATTAGTCAATGGAAGTCTCAGCTTCAGTGCAGTTAAGCAGATATCAAAGTTTGAAGACAAGAAATTGACAGCAAAGCTATACTTAGAATACAATTAATTTATAATTAAATTTTTACATATGCCTGGATCTTGATTAGAATAAAAAGTGAAAGTAATGTGATAGCCAAAGCAGATACATCATATTCTGCTGTACCATATACTTAGTTTTGTTTGGTATTATTTTCTTTTTGTTGACATTGTTGTTTGTTCTGTCTTTAGAAAAGCTGGAACCAAGGTCCAAAGGTGGAACTCTGCCAGAGGCTAAAATCTCCAGAGGGAGAGAAACACTTCGGCTAAGAACTAAAGGCCCTGCGACTGTGGAAGAAATGGTATGGTTATCTTGGGGCTCTTCGATAGTTTAATCATCTAGCACCTGATTTATTTTTCCCCAAGGGTTATAAGGTAAAGTGGGAAGGAAAATTAATCTGGATATTAAAAAAATTGTGGAACTTAAGAAGGGGACTGCCTTCTGCAAGGAGAAATGCTTATATGAAGTTGAAGATAAGCAGGGATAGGATGGGCCTGAGGAATCTGGAAGCAGAGAACCTATATCTAGATGTTATGGGTTACCTGGATAATTTAAGGTAGATTAGAGCAAGGAGTGTTGAAAAGAGGGAAGGAGGAAAAAAGCTGGGGGGATGGTTGAAGAGTTGATTCTGTTTCTGATGCTGTGAAGTGTACTGGGCTGTGTAAGGGTTGTTAGGAGAGGCTGATAACATTGATGTGAATACGTGTAAAACCAGGAACAGGGTTTGGAAGAAATGTTATTTATTCTGGGTTCCTCTAAAGCTGATGAGGATGTGATGAAGTTCTATATTGTCAGGAGATGCAAGGTCCCTGTTTAGCTGGAATGTGAGAGGTATGTGGTTTGACATTAAGAGGAAGGCTTAGGGCTGTGAGAAGGGGGCAAGTGTAATAATGTGTTTTACTTGTAGGTTTTGTTTAGATGGCTAGGATGGGAGTAAGGCTAATCAGTGGTGAATTGCTGGTTATTTTGAAATCTGCATGGATATAATCATACTTGTGCTCTTTTTCTCCCTTTATTTCAACAAAGCCAACTGAAGTTGAAGAAAAAGCAATTAAAAAAGTGGATGAGCTGCTTGAAACATACATGGGGATAAGAGATATTGAATTAGGTGAGTTTTTAACAGATACATTACTATGAGATTAAGTAATTTCTCATTTTCTGTAGTGTAAAATATATTGAGTACTTTAGCCACTGGACATAAGTAAAGCAAAATTTGTCCAGGATGCAGTTGCAAAAACTTGTCACTATTTCTCCAAGTGTGTGTGTCTGATAAAAGAAAGAATCTCTTGCTACAAGCCTTATGATATAATTAAATAGATCATCTGTTCTTCCTGCATGTTATCTGCACACTATTGCATGAATTATTTAGTTGTTTGCCATTAACTGTCATCAGTGTATTCTTTCTGGCATGTATTTTCTAGTGGAGCTTGTGTGTACCACATTTAAAGATTGTTAAGGATAAACATGTCTACTTGCTTTTTTGCTATTTTCCCTTTGGTTTAGACACATCAAAGTTGACCACTGAAGTTTGAATCCGAGATCTTAACCAGTGAAAGGGCAACTATTTAGCAAGGGAACCAACAGAGCAATTGCACAAATTTTTCAAATTATCTAGAGCCTGTGTTCTGAAGAACATGAGAAATTTTCCATAATATTTACTAAAAAATATTTACTTAAAACTGCACCACACTTGTCCTTGCAGCTGTTGCCTCTCTCTATTAATCTGACAACAACTAAATAGGAACTTCTGTTTGTTATGGGAAGAAGCTGCAGTCTGGCTGAGTAAGAAGTGTTGCTGTAGCCAGCTGTGACTGGGTGTAGTCCTCATATGATGTTATAGAACTGCTAATACTGAGACAAAGAATAAGATATTTATTATGGTAATAACTAAAAAAATCAGTGGAGAGTTAGGAAAGGGTAAGTCACATGAAAAGTGATACAGAAAAGAAAGCTGTTACAAGAGAGAAGTAGGGGACGCAAAGCGGAAGAGAAGATGGGACTGGCATGAAGCTAAGGGCAAAGCAGGAGGGTTGGACAGGCAGCGGTTAGCACAGAAGAATGAGAACAATAGGAGATTATCTGAATAACCAAAAGTTCTTTGTTGGCTGCTTCTACTGGCAAGCATCTGATTGGCAGCTTCTACTAGTTTTGTCCCCCAGCCCAAGGTAAAGGTGAGCTTCCTGGCATAGAAGAGAGAGCAGAGTTGCCCAAACCTTGTGTATTCTGTTTTGAAGGTAATATCTAAACTTTCCAATTCCCAGAAAACTAAAAATTCTCAAAAATTCTGTTTCCAGCAACTCTAATATGTGATGCCTCTGCCATGTAATATGCTGCCAGGAGCCCTATGTGGTGCTGACCCTCTCTTTAGGTTAGGAAGGATCCCATATCCTGTCACTCTCCTGCAGCCTCTGCTGCTCAGTCCATCTTTGGCTCAGGCATCAAAGCTCCTGAGTCTCGTGCCAGCTGTCCCTCTGGGAGTTGTTTTTGTCCTGCAGCTGTTGCAGTCCTGTCTCGAGCTGGGCTTCTGGAGGCTCCTGTCCTTGCAGGTTACCTCCAAGGTCTCCAGGCTCCTGACCCTAGAGGAATAAGTGACTATAGCTGTTTTGTTTTTTTTTCTCAGAACCCTGAGAACCTAGGCTAGAACATGATTTTTTGGGATGTTGAGGTTGGTGTGCTCTGCTCTGGGACAGGGAAGCAAATTCACATGGGAACTGGCGTTCCCTTTATTTTTGGCTCTCAGTACTGTAACGGGATGGCTCTTGTACAGTAGACTGAAGAGTTCAGCTTTCAGCATGTGTGGCTGAGCTGATTGCTAAGCACCTGGTAGAGTTTTCCCATGCATTCCTTTTTTTTTTTTTTTTTTTTTTTTTTTTTTTCCCCAAAAGATCTAATGTCCTTCATCTTTCAGTATGTAGTTTGGAAAGCTTCAAAGAATATCTTAAAAGAACTCTCAAAGAGGAAGAGGTCTTTGTCCTCAAAGATACTCTCTTCTTCCCAACTGGGTTGTTGTTTTGCCCTTCACCTCTTCCTTCTCTTCCTCCCAAAAAGGCAGTGGAATAAAAAGAAGCTGTCAGGAATCAAAGACTACAGAGTTCACATAGCTTTAGTTTGCATCTTTGAAGCCATTTGCTAAAGTTCACATCTTGGAGTCAAGCACCAACAGCGATGACAAAAAAAGTTTTATCATTTTTAAACAATTAAACAGCTCTAGGACCCTTTACGAAAGGAGAGCTAATCAACTGTCACAAATCTGTTCAATTAACATATGTCAGTTTTTCATATACTGGATGTGATCAGTCACCCATGAAAATGAAATATGAGGAAAGGATTCATTCAGAGAATGCCAATCACCACTCAGCTAGAAATTTCACTCATTACTCAAGCCAGATTAGTTGAAAATGCAAGTGTTCACAATGCGACAGCCGACAGGTGATTAAGATCTCAATCATTGCTCACTCCCATGCAGTTCTGTTTGTCGGAAGCTTTGGATGTCAGTTAATATTGCTCTTTCATCTCCATTAAAATGACACTTCCATGGTGTGATTGAATTTTGAAACAGTGCCCCAGTTTTCAACCAGAAGTTAGATAGAAAGGAAAGAAAAAATAATGTAAAATTACAGACAGAATTAAAGATGAGATAAAGCCCTTAATTTTTGCATAGTTAAGTGTCTTGACAGTTTCAAGAATGGCTGACTAAATCTACACACAAATCCAAGTTGGAGCAAAATGCTTGGAAATCATTTAATGGAAATGCAAACACTTATCTTTTTCTTTTTGGCACAAAGATTCTGGGTGGGAGGAAGCCTGGATCTATGGGATCCATCCCCAGAATGCTACCGGTGGAAAAATTATGGCAAAAAGGGCTTCCTGTCCAACTTTTTTCTTTTGGCATCTTTTGGCTAGCTCTTCATCCACTGATATTTTATTGTGATTTGTTGTATTTTTACACTTCTGGATAATTTTTCCCTTTTGTTCTTCCCTCTAATGTTGTCAGATATATAATATATTTGTATATTCTTCATCTCTGTTTAGAAGAATTTCAAATGTACTTCTCCACTCTTGACTTTGTTTTTCAAACTTACTCTCTAGTCAAAATGTCCTAACAAGTTTAAACTTTTTGTCAGCCAAGCTTCTTCTCTTGGCTCACTAGTCCAACCCAGCAATATTGAATAGATGTTTTGATCTTGAAATGTTTTGAGTGAAGTGATATTTTCCCTGAATGTGGTGTTTTCTGCTCCTTCTGTCACCAGACTTCCTTTCCCAAAGGACTTTATTGTATATGGTCTGGGGTATGTTGTTTATGACTGTAGATTTACTCTGAGAGAATAATAGCAGTTTTGTGAAAAAGGGAAAGGTATCAAGTCTGGTTAAACAAGAACTTATCCACTTCAAGAACAATTAGTACTTAATAAAAAGAAACAAGAAGAAAGGTTATTTTTAATGGCTCTTTGAGTGCCAGATCTGACATGGTTCAACATGAAACTAAAACCAAGTAATGTTAAACGCTGGAAACTGCAAGGACACGCTTCATTTTCTGCCTTGTTGTAAGGAAGCTGAATGTGAATTTTAGCTCTTTTAAAGTGCCAGACGAGAATAATGATTGTTACCTTTTGATGAAGGCAGAGCTTCTGATAGTATTACAGCTAAATTAATATTGAAGTTTCTGTTAAGACTTCTGTAAAAGTTTTTTTTAGAAATTACAGGATAGGATATAGGTAGCAAAACCACTATGTAAGTTGGATAATAACAATGACAGGTAGATCATTGCTTTCATGGCTTGTGTTGCATGTGTCTATCAAAAGTGAAAATAAGGACTTTGTGAAAGATCTTTGAAGTTATTTTAAAGGGACTAGGTTTAAAAGCCAACATATTCTGGGAAGCCTGATATTAAGCTTCTCAGTTAAAGTTGAGAAGACTTCTAATTCCTTTCATCACTTTGAAATTTGCTGAACTTTTTACATTTTATATAAACTTTCTCAGGTATGAGCATTCCCTGAAGTGACATTTAAAAAAAAAAATAAAATAAAAAGCCCCTGAAAACAATTGGGGCTCTCTAGAGTGGAAAAAATACTCAATTGGAAGAAAAAAAAAATCCTGTAATCACTTACTGTGCAGCTGTTACAAGAAGCAGTGAGGGAAAGGGAGGGGAGTGGAGGAAATTTTGCACGGAGCTGTTGCCCTCTGAGAACTTGTAAAGTTTTCTTCAAGTTGGCAAATATCTGCTAAAGGCCTTGGCAATCAGTAGTTTTTGATTTGCCTTGGGAGTTACGCATTGCAAATGTCATTGTATAAACATGCAGGTTCTGCACAGCTGTGCTGCCAAGGGGATGGCGTCCCATGTCTGTGTTATCTGCCTGGGGAAATAAGAATATGGACGCTGGGTAATGGAGAAGACTGGTCAGCTGTAGTGTTTCTGTATGTATGAAACTAATGAAGCAGGGTTCAGATTTGCACACTCGTGTGTGTGGGTGGTACAACTAGTGTGAGAAGGTGGGGAAGGACGGCTTGAGCCGGCTGTGGGATCTGTGCCCGGTAATACAAGGCTGCTGGCACTAGAGGTCAGCACCAAGCCATCGAAAACTGCCTCTCCCCAGCAGTGACCATCCTCCCATCTCCCCGCAAAAGCTTGTGTCAATACATCCGGTGAATCTGGGAAAGGGAATGCGCTTTAATAAATATACTACATTAAATGTACCCTGGTACTGATGATTACAGTTGCTCAGTACAGTTGAAAACACTTTTATTTGAGGCTGCTGCTTTTGCACGGTCGTGACAGTCTGCCTCCTGCTTGACTGGGTTGAAAATTGTCTTCATTATCTAAGTTTAGTGGATTTTGTTATAAAGTTTGGTAAATCTAAAACTATTTTTAAGGTTACATTTCATAATTTGGGAAGCTCAGTCTTTAAAGAAAATTGTGTTTGAAGTAACATTTTCTGTTAATGTAAGAGTTTGTGATGGTATAATTCAGTGGTTTCAACTAGGGCAGTTGGACTGTAATATAATGCTGTGTTATCTTGTTTTATTACTGCTGTCCTTGTCATATGGCTCTTTCATATATCTCAACGAATTTATGTTAAAACTGACTAAATTCCTTGCTCTCACTCTTTCTGCTGAAGCACTTGTCTAGATCTCTGATGGCAACTTTTTTTTTAATATCTTGAGTGAGTATATCAAGACAAGTTTGCTCTTGTATCAGCTTGCACCAAAAACAACCCTCTCCCATTGTCTATATAGAGTAACTTCATATCCTGGTTCATATCCAGAAATCTGTGAAGTTTAAATTACACCCTTTACCTCATTACCTCCAGGATTATTCCTCTGCAAGTACCTTCTTATGCCATGGTGTCAGGGCATATAGGTTAGTGTTGATAGGACAAATGCTTGTCTTGTGCTTGTCAGGAACAAGAGCCCCATGTTTAATGCCTGTTTCTCATCCAGACTCCTCTGAGTCAGTGCCCCAGGAACTTCACAGGGGACACAGAAAGAATCAGTGCAACAGGGACAGGGTTTCTACTGGCAGGGAAACAGGTCTTGAGAGTCTTTGAGAACCAGTAGTGATGCCCAGGAAGCTGGGTTACGCTTGAACTGTCTCAATCACAGCCCTTTGTTTGTCAAGCTTTACATAAATTTTCATTGAACTGCTTTGTGTAGTTTGGCACACTTCAGTTCTGTTTGGAGCCTGTTGTCTGAACATAGTTAAAACCAAAGCATCAAATTCCTCCAGAATTACTGTTGCTGATGTCTACAATGTGGAATATGGCTCAAGTTTGTTCACAGCTTGTTACAAGTTTGCATAACATCAAACACTGTTTGCCAGAAGTTCATAGCTGTCAATAAATCTGAGCTGAGTTTCAGGTCAACAAAATAATATTAAATACATTTAATAAAACTTCAGAACAGGGGAAGTTTCTTTTCCTTTTTATCAGAGAGATTTTGCCATGTCAATACAAAATGGTGCATGCAGTAGATGGCAGACTGTCCCAGGGAAGGTGGTTTTGTGTGGCTTCAGAACTTCCTTCCCTTTCTTAGGCACTGTAATACGTGTAGGTAAGCTTTACATTTCCCTAAGCTGATCTTACCTGGTTTTGAAAATAGACATTCAAAAACTGTCTTGGCCATATGACAGCTACAAAGTTAGCTGTCACTTTCACGAGAATGACATTATTTTGTTTTGTTGCTTTTTAGCTGCAACGATGGTGGAAGCTGGAAGAGACAAGAAAAACCCAGATGAATTTGCAGTGGCATTGGATGAAACTCTTGGAGACTTTGCATTTCCAGATGAGTTTGTCTTTGATGTATGGGGAGCAATAGGTGATGCTAAGCAAGGACGACTGGAATGAGACCTGTGCAGTTTATCAATCCCTATTTGAAAATACGGAATTATTTTCAAATACATTCATCAGAATTTTAATACTTTTATTGATATGAATCCAGGGTGCTCTGTATAAGTATTCTTGTCTGAATCTTTTGCAAAGGAAGGTTTCTAATAGACATATGAAGGTAAACTCAAACTTCTGACAACTGCACATTTAAAACAAACATATAATTTACGTGTAGAAATCACTGTTAGAAGTGCTTCCAGGAGATATATTTATACAGACATTTTATGAAAACTTGGTATTTTTAAATTGTACATACACTTTGATATCAATATTCCAAAGAGTGTTAGACGTATGCAACAAAGAGTTTGAATTATTTTATCCCTTCTTTAGAAAGGTTTATAAACTTGTTGAAAAAATACCTAGCTACACGCTGCAGTTCCCTAGTCTTCTGTTGTCCTTATGTATTCATGTACACAAAGAGCTATGGAAAACCTAAAGCCTTGGGTTTTCTTACAGTTTGGCCTGGATGTAGTCTTTTCTATAGACAGAGCTAGGAAGAAGCTACCCTGTTTCTGAGGAACCTAATTTCAGGAAAAAAAATAATACCTCTCACCCATGAGAACTAAGATCTTTGAATGAGAAAGACTTGCTTTCATCTGAGTCATAATACACACTTCCTGGGTATTACTGAAATGAATAAGTATAGTAGAAATGCTTAAAACCAGGAAGCTGCTGCTTTATTCAGATGCCATATTATTCCAATAGCAACTGCATAGGAAGAAACAAATGTTATTTTTTGTTACTATTAAGGTATTTGAATAATATCTGTGATCTGGCACAGGAGACTATAGTGTATGACTAAGTGCTTAATTGATCCTTGCATATGCTGAATGATTTGCTGACATCCTGTGGAACTCCCCTCTTGTCTGTTTTTTTTTTTCAACGTGGCAACATAGGAGAGACATTGAAGGTGTTCAGACTTGGAAGATATTATTGTAAAGTCAGAAACAATTACAGTTTGGATGAAAATTCATGCCTAAACCCTGAAAAATGCATTAAATTAATTTCAGATGTTGGGATTTCCAATTATGTTGTACATAAACGTATTTTAACTGATAAACTGATACTAGTAAATATCAGATTTTAAAAATTAACTGTCGCTTTTAACACATCTCTTGTGCCTGCATTTATCCTTCTGTTCATTCTGTATTTAATGAAGAGCAATGTAATAAGTTTTGGTTTTACTCATAATGAGATTCTTTTTCAGTTTTTGCTGTGCTTAGTCTTAATTAAGACAGATATTTACTCATTTGTTTAGAAAAAGCTACTTTCAAGTGATTGTTATAGCCAAATAACACATCATGAGTGTCCTTGAATGAAATTGAACAAGAGTGTAGGGCCTGACCTGGGAAAGTGTCATAGTTTTTTACTATTTTTATATTTGCAAAAACCTATAAAATAATAGCTATTACAAAAGGTTTTTCTAAATCACTGCCTAGTTATTTTCTTCTGAGGAAAATGTCTTTCACTGTCTTGCAGAGATCTCTTTAAAATAAAGACTACGCCAATAATTTTACATGTTCTATGTCAATGATTTTTTTTTCCTAAAACCATGATACTTTAAAGTACTCAAGAGGTCCCCATTCTCTTTACTAAACTCCACTAAGTCTTTTGCACGTTACAATAAGTGAATGTGTTTTCTAGTTATGAAATATTACATGAAATCTTATAAATACTGTTCAGTGGTCTTTTAATGGGGATAATCTCCATTTTTATAAATGGTGTTGTGAATATTTGCTCTTGTATCTCTGATTTAAGGAAAAGCTTTCACATAGATATTCCTTTCTATAGAATGAGTAGTATAGAGCAGTATAGAGGTCATCTATTTTATTGTATCTAAGCATTTCAAAGGTGTCAAAATTTTTCTTCATTTTACTAGTGCCTCATATCACCAGTGTGGGATGAAATGTCTATCTTCAAACAGGTGTGATAATTAACAATTTCTACATGTAGAAATACATGAAAATAGAAAAAATTAGGCTATTCTCAAGTTATGAGAAGTAAAAATGTATAATTTTACAAGAAAATTTGAGTTTTAGTAAAACTTGAAAATATATTTAAAGAAAGCTTGTAAGAAGGTGATTAAATTTTACACAACCCATTGCTCAGCTGGGGCCATGAGGAGGTATTATTCGAGAATAATGAGATAGGTGTGTAATTTTAGGACAGAGCACAAGGTGGGTAGTGTTTCTCTATATTTACTAATTGCAAGTCTGAGCCCACAATCTTCCGTTGCAGTTGAGCACAGTCTTGCACAGGGCTGCTTTAACTAATGTGCTCTTGGTAATGAAATATTAAAGTATTGTGGGCCATATCATTTATTCTTTGAACTTCTTTTAGGTGAAAAGGAAAAATGAAAGATCAAGAATTCCCTGTTGGTTTTAAATTGTTTTATGTAAAACAAAAAAATCAAACTTTGTGGAAGTGTTTTTGTACACTAATGTTAGTAACCAACATGCCACTGATTATAAAATCAATTAAAATGGAGAATTCCTTCTTAAACAGGAGAAAAAAAAAAGCTATTATGGAAGAGATGTATTATAAAATAATACATGAAATGTTACCTGTATCCCCTCATGTGTTTTGGCTGTTCATTTTATTTAGAGAAATTGTTGTTCAATCAATTTATCCTCAGAGAATAATTTGTCTCATTACAGTGATAAAATAGCAAGATAAAAATAAACTCTGAAGCTCTAATTCTGCATAGAGCTGTCTTTTGTCATAGCAGCCTGTCTTTGTGGAGTTTATTTCAGAACTAAGATTTAAATAGTCATAGCAATTTTACTAGCATTTACTGCAATAAAATATGTAGATGTATCTTAATTTTTGAGTTCTCATTTACACATACGTTATTTCTAGCACATGAGACATAATGGTGCCATTACCCAATTTAGTAGATTGTTTGCATTTTCCAGCTATGCATGAATGAGTTGTCACATGAAAACATTACGTTATAAAGTACGATAAATACTTCTCGCTCTATGTAATGATTTGGGTAGTAAATTTGATGTTATTTTACTAGTGAAATACAGCCTGCAGTTCCCTTTTAAAACCTAGTCAATAAAGACAGTAAAGCCTTTGCATGCTTTGTAGGGTCAAAACGTCATTAAATGTCACTACAAAAATCTCCCAAATTCATTTGAAGGAGAATTCAAGGTCTAGTTAATGTAAGTGCTGATCAGAGTAGGACTAAATATCTTGTGTGTTGCAGTTGGAAGTGTGCTGGTGAATAGTCCTCTCCAAATCTGAAGTGGAATGAGACAAGGTAGTAACTCACCCTGAATGCTATTCTAAAAGTAACTGATTCCTTATTCTTATAATTTGGTGCCCAGTTTGCAGGGAGCTGGCAGATATGTGCAATTGTTCATGCCTTTACTTCCAGAGGTACTGCTATATTCAAGATAATGTAAACTAACCCCTATTTTTCTCTGTAAGCAATACTCTTTAGATGCAACAAGGAGATTTAATGAAATCTGGTGTTCATAAAGTTCTGAGCTCATAATCTTAAAAATATGAGGGGAGATGAATATTTCACACTTTTAAAGGAACTAATTTTGCAAATTACAGATACATCTTTTGTGACACCTTTAGTATGCCAGATGTTGCTTCAGTTAGATCTGATTTTATGCAACCCTATTCATAGTACAGTTAGTATTCAAATATATATTAATATAAGCAGTGTATTTGGGACAATCTCATCTGCTGTTCAGATTTGCACTTTGATTTGAATAGTGGTTATATTCTTATTTTTGTTTCTTATTTTTTCACAATTTATCTTTTTTTTTTCTTTTGAGATAAACATAAACCCGTGGAAATGTCCTTTGTATTTCAGAGTGAAATATTAATCTTAAAGTTAAGCTAACTTATAACATTTAGTTAAGGAAAAGGTATCAGGCAAGATATAATGCAGGATATAAAGTTTTTAAAGTGCTGTCTGTGATGACAAAAAAGCAAATTGTAGAATTTTTTTTTTTTCTGCTTTTTAATGTGAACTTCTACTTTTCAAATTGCGCATTGTTTTTCATGAAAAGAGCCCTGAGAGTTTCTATTCCAAAGTCTGAATACTGTAGTAAAATGATATATTATTCTTGGTTTTCTTTCTGCCAGGAGATACTTCAGAACAATTAGAAGTCAGGGTGTTGACTATTTGCCCTTTTGAAATCAAATGCATGTTTGCCATGAACCGCAGAACTCAACTCTAACAGTAAGAGCTTAATCTGAAATTTGTATTCAGTATTGTTGTTCCTTTTCAGTTCTCCCACTCCCTATGTTTGTAAAGCATTTTACCTTTAGATGTTGTTATACTTTGAAAGATCTGTTATTTAGTTTATGAAAATATGAACAAATTTACAGGCTTGGAAGTCAAAAATAGGGAAAATCCTTAGCGTTTCTTGAAGATACTTATAAACAGTAACAGTCTTTGATTAAAAAGCATGCAGCCTGTAATACAGACTTTGTCCTCAGAAAAGTTATATTCAGTGTGTGAGATTCAGGAAATGACAACTAAAAAGAAAAAAAATTGAGACAGCATAAATATAAAGAAAATACCTCTTTCTTTATTCAAAGACATGCTCTGGTTTAAATAGAACAACAGAAGGTCTGAGATTGAACAGAAGGAACCTCCTGTTGTGTTTAGGCTGCCCTATCTCTCTGCTCCTGTTGCTTGTACACAGAGAGGTCGTGAACAGCTTTTTCAGTTTTCTTTCAATGATGGCCGTCCTTACTTGAATCTCTATTGCTGTGTCGGAAAAGGAAGCTCTTGGTTTTGTAGCTGAATCATTAGTCTGTGAGGTTCTCCCAGTTCCCTGAGAACTAAGGCAGATTTTCAAGTTGTCACAAACTTAATTTTACTATATAGTAATATCTACTTTTCTTTGAAATGAAAAGGTATCTGGCAGTTCTACTTTGTAGTCATTACTGCAGTGCTTCTGCTGCAGTGACCCGTGTGTAGGATGGTGAAGAGTAACAGAGAAGATTATATCTGGTAAAATCTTTTGCCTGGAAATCATGCTGAAACAATCACCAGATAGTAAGAATGCTTTATAAATT